GAGCCAAGAGTGAGGAATCAAGGCTAAATAGAGTATAGCCTCTTCTTAAACTAGTCAGAAGTAAGTAAAGAAATATTTTGTCAAAATGAACATGTCATTTATCTGAAAAGTTCTGGTAAACCAGAGGGTCCTCCTTCAATGCTTCTGAACATTGCAGTGTCCTAGACTTCAGACAGTTTGTGTTAAGCATTTTAAATTACTGCAAGTCCATGCATAACTACAGTATGTTCACTGCTTCCATCTTATACTCAGACATCAGAGATAAATGAAGATGTGGATGTGAAAATGGTAGTGTTTTATGTACACACTACATACATTGTGTTGAGTGCCTTATATAAATTATTTCATGTAATCTAGACCATTTTGTAGATTAAAGAGAAACCTCACATCTGTGTAGGAAGAAGGCATTACAAAACACACTGAAAGTTGTTGAAAAATAGAGGGAATGGGGAAGGATAAGGAAGAACAGTAGAGAACATTTAGCGATTAAAGTACAATATATTCCCAAGATAAATATCATAGCAAAACCACTATTAATAGTGAATATGTACTTAAATACTGAAGGACAAGAATATTAAAGAGGTCCTGTCAGGGAAAGGTACTAATGGGAGGCAGAGGGTGAATGGGGAGGGTAATGAGTGGAAATATACCACTGAAAACTGCCCAAGGCATTTCAAGGAGGAGAAGAGAAAGAAAGATGGTGGGGATGAACCTAACCAAGATACAGTGTAAGCATGTATGTAAATGTCCCAGTGAAGTCCCCTGAATGATTAACATATGCTAAGAAAAATTTTTTTAATAAAGAAGAAAGATTAATCTTGGAGAATAAATGACCTGCCCCAAATCACACAGTTCTCAAAGCAAATGGTTTAATTCCGTGGCCTCCAGCCTATAGGTCTAGGTAAACACTGAGTGGGATCAGAGGAATTCAGTGGTAAATTAGGACGTAGAATAATAAAAGAGTTACTACTATCTTTTTTCCATCGCCTAAACTTCTGGTCAAATTTTTTTTTCTTAGTCTGTATTTAGTCCCAATTCATTTTACTCTCCACCTTTAAGTAATTTTAGTGTGACTTCTCCCTTTATGAAAGAGTACTTGAAGTCTCTGTTAATTAGTTATGCAATTTTTTGGTGGTGGTGGGGGTTGGAAGTGCGTATGTCTGTGGGGTGAAGGAGTATCTAAAATTTCTTCATATTATTTTTCTCAGAATTTATGCTTGCAACGGAAATTTCTCAACATGAAATGTCATCAATTTGGCCACACTCAGGAAGTTGCAAGGAACTTGCCTGTAACCTCAGTGAGTTCAACATTGTCTAAAACCTAATAATCTTTAGTGGTCTAGCATTTAGAAGTTTTAAATGTCATTTCATTTAACTAGATCCCTTGGAAAGTTAGATGATTAAAAAAAGAAAAATCCTAATAGTGTACTTCAAAATGAAGATAGTTTCGTGTTTATATAGGTGGAAGAACAGAGAGAAAGCCAGAGTTCAAATTACCTGAATTTTTATTTATCAAAGAAAAGTTATGAAGATTTTATCTGTTTATCAGAGATAAAATTTCTGTAGTATGTATACAGTCATAAAATAAATTTTCAAATATGGGAAATGTCTGGGATCAGATAATCATTGTGTCCCAGAAAGATTTCAAAAATGTGTATATAGTGATTAGCTAATTCTAATGCATAGGACCCGGTGTCACTTTAATGTAGATTATCAGGCTCAGGGGACTTTTATTGACATAGTTTTAGGTACCATCTATATTCCATGTCTAAATACTGTTGAATGAATAAGTAAATGTATGAGATTAGGGGTTTTATCGGATTTCAACCTACAAACACAAAACTAATAAGATTAATCTGTAAATAATAATATGATAATCCTCTAACCACCTTCATATCTGTTCTTGAAAGATTCATACTCATATCTCTCTTCCAGACAAAGTGAGGAAAAAATTCAAGTTCCTCAACTCTTTCACACCTATGGATGGTCTATTTCTTTTCTGGTTTTTTTTTATTGTTTTATTATTCATATGTGCATACAAGGCTTGGGTCATTTCTCCCCCCTGCCCCCACCTCCTCCCTTACCACCCACTCCGCCCCCTCCCTCTTCCCCCCCACCCCCTCAATACCCAGCAGAAACTATTTTTCCCTTATCTCTAATTTTGTTGAAGAGAGAGTATAAGCAATAATAGGAAGGAACAAGTGTTTTTGCTGGTTGAGATAAGGATAGCTATACAGGGAGTTGACTCACATTAATTTCCTGTGCGTGTGTGTTACCTTCTAGGTTAATTCTTTTTTATCTAACCTTTTCTCTAGTTCCTTATTTAGTGTTCATTTGTCAAGAGCAAAACTTGTTTTCCTTCTGTTAATATCTCTCCCATAAATTGAGTAAACTGAGAATACAGCTTCAGGAATCTGTTAAGTAAAAAAAAAAAAAAAACAAGGCAGCAGCACTCCCATATTTTTATAACACATGTTCTTTTCAGTTCAGGGTTCCATGGTGGGACCTTTTCCTGGATTTGGACTTCAGAGAATTATAGTTCAACTTTCTCCCCTCCCCACTCTTTGTAGGAATCCACTCTCTCTTCTTCTGCTTCAATCTCAAGGCCTATGCAGCTTTTTTTTTTTTTCTTCTTCTTCTTCCTGAAAAGCATTTCCCTAACTCCTTGACTAGATGGCACAGTTGTATTTTTTAAGGGACTGCAGTTTTAGATAAGTATATTTCATGGAAATTTTCACTGTTTTATTATCAAGTAGTTCCTTAAATGCTTCCTAATCCACAATTCCCTGTCATCTTCATAAAGAAGTCCTATTCTCTTGACAAATTGAGGAAGTAGGTTGGTAAAGCTTAATAGAAAAATTATGGCCAGTGTCTATGCTGTGCCTAAGAAGTCTCTAGAACAATTTGTTGGTTATCCATTATCTCTTGTCTCTCTCACTCTTGTCTTGGGAGTGCCAGCCATAGGGCCATGTTGGAGGTAACATCTTGGCTATTTAAAATGGAAATGCAATTTTCTACTAGAGGGGTAAGTACAGAGTGGACATATGCTTTATGCCTAATGTGGTCTGAGAAAAGATACTGGAGACCCACCGTGTAGTGTTGTCTTCCAGCACTTGGAAGTAAATGTTTATGTTCTCTGGGTTTCCTAACTTATTACATTTTATTTCCTTAAAAAAATTAGATCACTTTGGAAGGTGATGGTTTGAGTAGAATGATTGAAGTACAAAGACAAGATCTATTGCATGAGAAATAATCATCATATTCAATGTACTCTAGAAGACATGTCCTAAAAGCCCACTCTGTGCCAGACTTTGGTCAGCACCAGAGATTAAAAAGGGTAACAAAAGCCAGAATGATAACACGCACTGGGAAACTGAGGCATGAGGATGGTGAGTTCAAGGCCTGCCTGGACTACACAGTGACAACCTATTTTACAAAAATAGAAAGCAGGAGAATTTCTGTTACAAGGAGGTCACAGTCTTATGAAAGGGCAATTGTCATACAAATAGATAAATAAAGTGAGAATTGCTATAACCAAAAACTTGCAAGTTGCTATCAACACACGAAGAAAGCATGAAAAAAGTTTTGTTTTGAGATATCCTTACACAGTAGGAAGGATAAGCAATTGGTCCAGGAAAAAAAAAAAGAAAAGAATCATGAAGACTTCACAGAGTAAGCAACTCTTCTTAGTTTTGAGACAGAGAACAGAGGGAAGCTTCCATTGTAGGAAATAACAGGAGCTATTATTTAAAATATTTAAAAATATTTACACTTAAAAAAAAAACAACTCTGTAATTATTATAATTAGTTTTGCTAAATCAAGATTGAAAATTGACAATATATTATTATCTATACTTTTATACCAAATAACAGAGTGAAGAAATCAATGAAAAATAATTTCTAAAACTTCAGTGTGGAGTAGAATAAAATATCTCCACTATCATCTCACACTTTCTATCTCATACTCCAACAAAGCAAATAATATGAAAAGTCCAAGTTCCAAAGGGAATTTGGAACATTCCAATTAGATTGGTATGGCTGGAGTATACACTGGGAGATGAGGGTGGAGATAAGACACAAAAAATGGGTCAGATAGAATTTACATAACCTGGAAGTATGTTTATTTATTATACTAAAGAAAATGAGAGAACATCAAAAATGTTCAAGCAGGGAGATAAGAACATCATGGTTTGAGACCAATCATGGCCAAAAGAAAAGTAACAAGACCCTATTTCAAAGAATAAGCTGGGCATGGTGGATGGCTCATGCCTGTATTTTCAGGTACACAGAAAGCATAGATAGTTATATCATGGTCCAACATAGGTCTGGGCAAAAAGTGCAGACCCTATATGAAAAATAAAGGCAAAAGGACTGGGCTCAAGTGGTAGAGTGCTTACCTAGCAAGTGCAAGGCCCTCGATTTTCTTTTTCTTTTATAAAAGATCATAAGTCAGTTAGAAAGATATTGCAATATTCCTCACATGCTATCATGAGATTCCAAAGCATAATAGTGTCCTTGGGAATGGAAGGAAGGTCATATGAAAGTATCTCTAGGAAGATAGGATCCATAGGACTTAATTACTGAATCTGTATGAGGAGGGTACATGTGAAATAAAGAGAGAAATAACTTTCTGCTTCAATGACTGACTGTTGGTTTCAGTAAAGAGAAGTTAGGAATTAAAAAAAAGAGGCAAATTTATAGAAAAATGAAGGGCTATAGTCTTTTGGGGGTGTTTAAGAAGTTGGATAACAGAGATCTGATTTCAGGAGATGGTTTGAGATTGAAATAGTTGATTGGGGAAACACTAACACATTTTTAAAAAGTACAGACAGATTATACAACTGTGTCTGATAGAAGAAATTTTCTTGAAAGTTCTAATATGAAATACCTTAAGTAGCATTCTGAAAAATACAATATGCAATATGGACATAGTTCTTTTTATTATTAACATTAGAGTATGTCAAATTTTAAAATATTTACACTTAAAGAAAAAACTCGATAATTATTAAAATTAGTTTTGCTAAATCAAGATTGAAAATTGACAATACATTGTTATCTATACTTTTATACCAAATAACAGAGTGAAGAAATCAATGAAAAATAATTTCTATTGTGGACTAGGATAAAATATCTCCACTATCATCTCACACTTTCTCAATAAATACAAAAGTAGGCATATATGCTACTTGTACAAATTAGTTCAAGTGAAAACACAACCTATTAATATTCATACAATAATATATACAAATTCAAAACTGGCAGGTGTGAAAAAACTTTTTTTTCAGGTTTTATCACTTTATACTCATTAAAAAAAGCCAAAATAAAGCATATGTCACACATATATATCAAAGACTTACACCATACCACTTTTCTTGTATAGGCAATTAAAATATTAAGATATAGTATTTAATAAATATACATTTTACTTACAATAACTGGGAAAGTTAGAGATACAAACTTTTATGTACAATTATTCGGATTAAAACATTTTAAATTTGGGTTTGACAAATATTTCTCTTCCTCTCCTATGAGATAATGCAACATGAGAAGAGATAAAATGAATCTATCTGCAGAGTTGAGGATGTGTGTTCAGTTGCTTGGCTCTGTGATAGCAATCTTCTGTACCATGTCAGTCAGACTTTCAGATTCCAGATCTTCTTTGCCATTGTCTGAATTTCCTGATGAGATATAACATCCAGAGTCCCGTGGGCAGTCATCTAGCTGTGACTTATTTAAGGAGATGTCTGGGCTTACAGAGAGGGGGAGGGATTCATTTTCTTCCTCTTCAATGGCTATAAGTAGAAAAAAGGGCAAGAGTTAGGAAACTAAGAAAAGTCTTATTCATGTGTCATTTATTTTTAAGCATCATCATTTTTCAATTATTCCAATCTTGAGGTCATTATAATGGAAACTTCTGTGAGTAAAAGATATATTTATTCATAATGAAAGAGGTCTGTACACTCTAATATTCAAACCAGTCTAAGAAGAGAAAGTTTGTTCTTTGCTGTTCACTTACAGCTTCATGAAATTCATGTGAATAACCTACGTAAGCAAAGACTAGTATAGACTGTTATTTTACATTAGTAAGTTGCCAGAAAGAGCAGATTGTATCCACAGTATGACTGGTGCCTTGTCCAAATAGTCCTTAAAATATCATTAGGAAAAATCATTTATAGTTTAAGCTATAATCGAAGTCAATAGTGATCTTTGTGATCAATTCCAGAATCATGATTTTGTGAATTAATAAATAAATGATCATTATTATTTATTAATAAATAAAAGGGCAATGATGTATAGTAGAACTTCAATTACTTGGAATTTAATGAATAAAACTTAAAGTATCCAGAATTTTCCTGTGTCTGCATTCACTAGAAAAACAGACATAAGAAACTTGGATGCTTTTAGAGAATAAAAGACCAAACTGCCACTAATCTGCCTTCCAAATACTTAGTTTTGTCTTCCATATCTTTGTTGTTCTGAGTAACAATCATTTATGTTTAGATCGACTCATTTAAGCAGTCTTCTATACTCTACAGGCATTATCTTTTATAATAAGCAATTAGTATTACAACTCTTGAAATATTTCTGAAGACCATAAGCATCTTTATAAAGTGTTACTGTTCTGAGGATTCCTTTAGCATCAGCTTTGTCATTGTCACTGTGAAGTTTCTTTGTCCTCTCTGACATGGGAAATGGTTATTTCTCTATGCCATGAGCTGAGTTCTTCAGAGAAGAAATGGATATAGTTTACCATGTATTAGCTGCATGTATTAGCTGCTTTCCTTTCAAAACTCTTTTCTTCATTTTAACCACCTGAATAGCCCCACATTGGGATAACCATGCATATATTTTAAGGTGGGAACAAGAACTCTACCTTCAGATATTTTCTCCCATTCCATTACATTTATTCAATTCCAGTGAGAAGAAAATAAATCAGAATTTCAAAATCTTTTGAAGGAAATTGTATAATTTTCTTCAATAGACTAAGATAATGCTAATCAATTGATCTTTAAGAAATTCACCCTCTATCTAATTTATACATCTGCTTTTAAAGTGCATTTTTGAAGGTTCCAGGTACCTTGCCAACATTTGTTTATATTCCACTGTGCATGAGATTATTACCAACCTCTGTTGTCTATGAGAACTGAACCCTGGTGACCTAAGCTATGCGTCTATGTAATGAATAAACTTCTTTTTGGTTTAACAAAATGGTAGTAGTTATGCACCGTCCATGGGAGAATGTTCTCTGATTCTACATTACACAAGAACACTGGTTGAGAACAGCTAGAAGATAATGACAAAATGCTTCTTAGTCCTCTCATTTTCAAAAGTAATCATAATGGTTCTTTTATTCTTTTCCTCAAAGCTTCTTTTTGCAACAGTGAAACCACATTTATTCCATTCCCCTAATTCTTCATATTTGTTACTTTATTTAACTATGAATATTAAAATAAGGTATTTAAGTCTAGTAATGCTCTAATGGTTCTAGCAGTCTTGTTTTTAATGTACATATTCTCAATGTTAAACTTTAGCTACCATGAAGCATTTTCTGTTTATTAGTCATTATAATCTTCAACTTCAGAGAAATTTAATTACTATTGAGTAGTTTTTTATTAGTATCAGTCACTCACTTTTGTTTTCAAGCCTTTCTTTTATGAAAAGGCAGCTCTGAAATGGGACCTCATTACCTAAGGAACTACTTTCTCTCCTGTCTCTGATATTCTATCATATTGCCACTGAAATGAAATGAGCCAGTTCTGTGTTCCTTTATCTCCATTTTTCTGGAAAAGGTCAAAGGAATTCATCCTTTTGTATGCATCCTGTCACATTAACAGTGATCATCATTTTTGAAGTTTGATCCTCTTAGTCATAATGGAGATGGGAATAGGGTCACATTTCCTAGATTAAGTTTGGTTTATACAGTGCAAAATTAAAAGAACCAGTCTACTTCCCCTCAGATTGATGTCCAAAACAAGATGAAAGCTGTTTGATCCCAATTTTCTTATTTGTTTAGATTGATTACCAATTGTGGGACTCTCTTCCATATGTAAAATTTAAGCTCAAAGATCTCTGATTTTCAAAATTGTCTCTTTTTTTTTCAAAAGTACTTAGCTTGTTATTTCATATTCAGAAGCCTCTCCACATTTACCTCAAGGTAACAAAGTAAATAAATGGTAAATGAAAAATATGACTTTACCTGAGAATATGTGATTGTTTAGTATTAGTAATAAAGAATATTTGTTTCATTTCCACCTAAGAATTGCTATTCACATTCTGTAAGTCCTAGGAATTGATAGGTTTTTAATATAGGTTATTTATTATAGAACTCTTTCATCTACGTTTTTTTATGGAAAAGGGAAATAGTTTCTCAGTATGAAAGTTATGTAGCACAGTAATTTACAGAACAGCAGCAATTTGCTAAATGATTTCCTAGTGAAATGAAAACATGACTATGCCTCAAGTACTTCCCACAAGGCTTGCAATAGTTTCAGCCAGGTGATCAGCTGGAGACCCTCAACTATCACTATAAAAAGAAAAGGCAGGTCATTATGATTTATTATGGAGATGAAAGCTATATTGCATCCAGTCTTTGTATTTGGAGGGTCAAGATTTCCCTCTTCTTGTTTCTTTTTGACAGGGATTGACAGAAACCTAGGTCTTATGCTAGGGGTGGTTTTTCTTTCTTTCTTTCTTTTCTCCTGCAGAGGGGATGCATTCACATTTTCTCTCTAAGTCATTTAGTGATTTCATGTGGCCATGAAACACAGTAATGGTAACTGGCCTACCCAGAAATTGAAACCACAGCCTTCATCAGTTTTGCCCCATGCCCAATCATCTGAACTAACCAGGCAAGTAACACACTGGAATAAGAAGCAATTTGCCTCACAAATTTACAGGCTTCCCATAGGATATCTGAGTGCATCTTTTTATACTAAAAAACATTTTAGTACCAAATCTAAAACATTTGATACTAAAATGTTTCTGATAATAAAATAATTTTAAAAAGCATACATACTTTATGTTTTTTACTATTAAAATTATATCAACATATATATATATATATAAAACTACTATATAGATAAAGTGTCAAATTTTGGATAAATTTTTCTGTATTTCTCAGATTATCTACAAATCTACATTTATTTTTTAAATAATGATACACTAAGATGGCACAATGTTTCAGTATAACACCCAAACAGTTTGAGAATATCCCGAAGGCTATATATCTTCAAATCTGAATACACTAAAGAGTTATTAATAATTATTGATATAATAAGGCTCTCTCTTATTGTTACCAGTCAACAGCAGACATAATAGAAACTCCAAAAAGCCGTACAGTTCTATACTCTAATGAAAATAAAATTATCAAATTAAGAAAATATTATTTTAAAAATATTTTATTAGAAAAAACTAATTTGAATATTAAAATATTTTATTTCTATCCAAAATTGTTATGGAATTGCATAAAGTCATGGATCAAGATCATGGATTTTAAGGTAGTCATCAATGTTGAAAAAAAGTGGCATGGCAATTAAAACAGAAGACAGCTAGTATAAGTATTCATAAAATAATTATATTTGCAGTTGTGACATTTAATTAATTAAGTGTAGGCAATCTCAATTATGCTAAAATTGCAGAAAGATTTAAGGAAATAATGCTATATCTTTATTCTGGGAAAAAATTCTCATATTCTGAGGAGAGAAATCTTCCCCATAGTCATGTATTAGAAAGTTAAGAGTCTAATAAAAATAAAAGTAACCAATTTTTGCTTGACCTTCCCAGTTTTCTTTACCCAAATCTTCCAGAATTTTTCTTTACTGTGTTCTTTGCCAAGCTGCTCATTCTCTGAGCCAATATAATAAGCTGAAATAATGCAACGTAGAGGGTATAAGAAAATGCCTGGCCAAATAAAGTATTCAATGTGTATTTTTAATAAATAAAATGATGTTTAGACCAATTAAAAGAAATAAGAACTAATGAAGATGAAAAAAGGAATTTTGTTGAAATTCAGGTAATGATGCTGCTTGGCACTATAAATAATTCTCTTTTTTTCTAGCTTGAGACCATTCCCAAAGAAGAAAAACAAGGTCTATGTTAGAATTGTTGTAATCCTTGCACTCAAATTTGGCTCCATTTAAGACAAAAAGTAGAACCCAGCCATTCTGCAGGCAACTATAGCTATATTTTTATACAGAAGAAGCTTTGTCCAGGGAGGAAAATTTAGTAAATAATAGAACATGGCTCTCAGCTACTTTCAATTTCATCTTAAGCATGTCCTTAAATAACTTGCACATGTAATAAGAAAGAATCTTTCTTTTCCTTCCTTCCTTCCTTCCTTCCTTCCTTCCTTCCTTCCTTCCTTCCTTCCTTCCTTCCTTCCTTCCTTCCTTTCTTTCTTCCTTTCTTGCTTCTTTCTCTCTATTTCTTCTTTCTTTCTATTTCTTTCTTTCTTTGGCAGTATAGGGTTTGAAATTAGGGCCTCACACTTGATAGGAAGGCACTCTACTACTTGAGCCACTCTGCCAGCCTTTTTTAGTGTTGGATATTTTTTGAGATAGTGTTCTTAATTTTTGCTCAGGGTGGCGTCTAACCATGATCCTTCTGATCTTTGCCTCCCTAGTGCTAGAATTGCAGGTATGAGTCACAAGGATGCAATTTTGTAGCTATAGAGAGTATTGATGTTTATTTTGCTTAAATACTTTTTTGAAAAAAAAAAGAGAAATAGGAATCCATTCATGAAAAAATGATTGGTCTCAGGAATTGTTCTCCTGAGACCATAAGAGAATATGGA